GGCTCTTGTCACTGCCCCCCGTCAGGTCCCCGCGTCTCACCAGGTTGCCGCATCCCCCTAGGTAGCTGTGTCTGGTGAGGTTCCCGTGTCTGGTCCAGTTTCTGCGTCTTGCTCCTGCCGGTCGGTTGCCCACCCCACCGTTTTGTGGCACCACCGGATGGGGCACCCGTCCATTCCTCGTCTGCGCGCTATGTCTAGTCAGCGTCTTGTCTTAGGCCTCCCGCGTGTCTTGCCGTCGCTGCCGCCTTCGCTTGCACCACCGTGCGGTCCTTGCGTCGAGGGTCGGCTGCGCGCCACCCCTCACTCCTCCTCCCTTCGTCCGGCCATGGAGCCCTTTGAGACTCTCCGCTTGGACGTCTGGGGCCCCGCCTCTCGCCCTGGCCCTGAGCGCGAGCGTTTCTTTCTGGTGGTCGTTGACGACTACTCCCGCTACACCACGGTGTTCCCCCTGGCGAAGAAGTCTGAGGTGACTTCTATGCTGATCAGGTGGTTGCTTACCACTGCGGACACTCGTGGTCGTCGTGTCAGCTGTCTTCACTCCGACCGTGGGGGTGAGTTTCGCTCCGGCGTTCTCGCTGGGATCTGTCGCGAGCAGAGCATCCGTCAGTCCTGGACGCTTCCAGAGTCCCCACAGCAGAATGGGGTTGCTGAGCGCCACATCGGCTTGATCATGGAGATTGCCTGCACCTCCATGGCTCATGCCTGTGCCCCGCATTTTCAGTGGCCCTACGCGGTTCGGTACACCGCTCACCAGCTGAACCTCTGGCCACGCGTCTCTCGGCCAGAGGTTTCACCGACCAGTCTTTGGACCGGGTCCCCTGGTGTTGCATCGCGCTTTTGTGTATGGGGTTGCTTGGCTCTTGTTCGCGACACCTCCGCGGACAAGCTCTCGCCTCGCGCCGTTCCCTGTGTCTTCCTTGGTTTCCCAGAGGACTCCTCTGACTTCACCTTTTACCACCCTCCCCTTCACCGGTTCTTTGACTCCCGTGACGTCCATTTCAAGAAGTCCGTCCCCTACTACGTCAGGTACCTTTGTCGAGGTCTCCCGGTTCCTCCCCCCCCTCTCTTCGTGACTTCCGCCCCCCCTCTTGCTCCCCTGGTGCAGCCTTCCCCCCCTAGTCTAGCCCCGTCAGGTGTTTCCCACGCTACCCCTCCCCCCTCGATGGCCCCTCAGGTGCAGTCTCCTTCCCCACTGTCCTCCCCACAACCTGCTACAGACCCTGCGGAGGACGGTGTTCGTGGCGAGGACCCTGGGGGTGCTGGCTCTAGCGGAGTTGGAGTTGGTGTTGAGAGCGTTCCTGTGCCGGGTCTTGGTTCTGGGGGTGCTGAAGTTCGAGTTGAGCCCGTGCCTGCAGGAGGCTCTTGTCTTCCGGGGGCTGGTGTTGGTCGAGCTGACCCTGAGGGTACTACGACTGGGGGTGCGGGTGCGCCCTCTGTGGGCCTTGGTGAGTCCGGGCGTGTTGTTGTTGGTGGTACTGGCTCTGGGGGTGACGCGTCTGGTGCTTTGGAGAGCGGTCCTGGGGCTACCACCGCTTAGTGGCCCCGGCCACTACTCCTCCCCCCCACCCCTACCCGACCCGGCACCAGGCTCGTGTTTGCCGTGCCCGTGAGGAGCAGCTGGAGTTGGAGAGAGAGGAGAGAGAGTTGGAGCAGCAGCAGCCGCAGCTGGAGGAGCAGCAGCAGCAGGAGGAGCGGTCGCAGCCGCAGCAGGAGCAGCAGCAGCCGCCACCTCCTCCTCCTGTCTCTGGTCTTCGGACCCTCGGTCTCCCCTCTCGCTCTCCTTCCTCCTCCCCCTCTCCTCCCGTCTACGGTCCCACGTTTCCTCCTCCTGACTCCTCCCCAGCTGCTCTCCCTCGTTCTCAGCCTCTGTTGTCCCCCCCTCCTTCCCACACTCGGCCCTCTCGTTGCTCTCCTCGTGCTTGTCCCTCGTCCCCTGTCCTTCTCAATGACCTTCGTACTGTCCTGTTCCGTCCTAGTCCGCCTCGTTCGTCTCCGTCTGTGCTTCCTTCTCCTCCTGAGTCGGCCCTCACTGCTTCCCTCTCTACTCCTGTCACAGACTACTACCGCATGTACCATCGTGTTCTCTCTCGTGTTCTCGCCTCTCTTGTTACCGACCCTCGTGCCTCTCTGTCCTCTGTCTCCGCTCTTACTGCCGCAGTCACTGAGTTTGCCTCTACTCGCCGCCTTGACTACGCCACCAGTCTTGTGGCTGCTCCTCCTACCAGTCCTCCGCTCTTACAGCCGCAGTCACTGAGTCTGCCCTTGGCTGTGACGCCCTAGAGGACAGGCAGTTTGAGCTAGAGTTCCTGGTAGCCGCTTCCCCTCATCTCTGTGCCATGCTGCTCGCCCCTGAGGGAGACCCCGACGCCCTTGACATACCGACTCCTCACACTTACCCTGAGGCAGTGTCAGGGCCATGGGCCTCTCAGTGGAGAGCTGCGATGGACGCAGAGATGGCCTCCTACAGATCCACAGGCACCTATGTCGACGAGGTTCCCCCTCCTGGGGCGAACGTAGTCGATGGCATGTGGATCTACAGGGTGAAGCGGCCACCGGGATCTCCTCCGGTCTTCAAGGCGTGCTACGTGGCTAGAGGTTTTAGTCAGCGCGAGGGAGTTGACTTCTTTCAAACCTTCGCGCCTACACCGACGATGACCACTCTTCAGATGTTACTGCACGTAGCAGCACAGAGAGACTACGAGCTACACTCTCTCGACTTCTCCACTACCTTCCTTCAGGGTAGCCTACACGAGGAGGTCTGGTTGCGTCGTCCCTCTGCCTTCACTAGCACTTTCCCTCCTGGGACCCAGTGGAGGCTGAGGCGACCGGTCTACGGTCTCCGTCAGGCTCCTCGTGAGTGGCACGACACCCTTCGTTCTACCCTGTCTGACCTTGGTTTCCAGCCGTCTTCTGCCGACCCGTCGCTGTTCGTCGTGGCTCCACACCGCTCTTTGTTTTGGTCTACGTCGACGACCTGGTTTTTGCCACTGCTGACAGGGTTGCCTTGGCAGACGTGAAGTCCGAACTGCAGAAGAGACACACGTGCACTGACCTTGGTGAGCTGCGCCACTACCTTGGCCTGCAGATCACCAGGGACAGAGCAGCTCGCACCATTATACTCTCACAGTCACACATGGTGCAGCAGGTCCTTCAGCGGTTCGAGCTTCAGCACTCCACAATACAGCGCACACCTCTTGCTGTTGACCACAGACTCACTGGTCCCTTTCCTGAGCCTAGTGGTCCCTACGCAGAGCTGGTGGGCTGCCTCATGTACCTGATGACTTGTACTCGCCCGGACCTTGCCTTCCCTCTCAGCATCCTTGCTCGCTTTGTTGCGCCAGGGAGACACCGTCCTGTTCACTGGACGGCGGCTGTGAGGGTGGCGAAGTACCTAGCGATGACATCAGGCGTGGGGCTGGTCCTTGGAGGGCAGCAGTCTGTTGTACTTACTGGTCACTGTGACTCTTCTTACGCTGACGACGCTGAGACTCACAGATTTACTCAGGGGTACTATTTCAGTCTGGGTTCTGGAGTTGTTTCGTGGAGGTCCACGCGTTCCTCCTCGGTCTCGACCTCTACCACCGAGGCTGCGATCTACGCTGGTGCCATGGCGGCACAGGAGCTGCGTTGGTTGACCTTCTTGCTCGCCGACCTTGGTGAGCGACCGAGCTCTGCACCGACCTTGTTCACTGACAACAAGGCGTCGATTCTCCTCTGTCGAGAGCCGCGACTAGAGAGCAGAGTGAAGCACATTAATGTTAGGTAATTTCTTTTGCGAGAGTTGCAGAGACGTGGACAGGCTCGCTTCGAGTTTGTGGAGTCCGAGGCCAACACTGCAGACATTTTCACCAAGGCGCTTCAGCCTTGTGACCACCAGAGGTGTTGTGTGCAGTTAGGCCTTGTTGACACAGGTTCTCGTCGTGTGTAGACTTGAGTTCTCTGCTTGCTTTGCTTGTACGCATACTTTGCTTATATTTTTTGTGAACTCTTGGACTGGCCCTGTGGCCTCTTTTGCTTGCGCTCAGAATGTGTGGTGACGTTGTGATCCACCGTGAGCTTTGTTTCTTTGTGACTGGTCTTGTGACCGTACACTTTTGGTTTTGCTTGACACCCCTCACTTAGACTATGGGGGTGTGTCAAATGTTGTAGTCTTAGTGATGTGTGTCATAGGGGGTACAACTCTTAGGGTTAGGTTTATGTACCCCAACCGACATTTTCAATGCAACACTTTCGATTTTGACATTTATTGTTCAATTATTGTTGAATTATATGGCATATCTTATAACTGCCTATAGCGTGCTAGTATACTAGATTAGTTATTAGAACCAACTGCTGGTGGTGTACCCTTTCCCCTTTCCCTTTCCTATATCTTGTAACATTCTTTCTAGTGCAACCCCTCTCCTTTTATCAAACCTCTCGATACCATCTCCTAAGTCTTGCTCCTAAGCCCAAGTATGGTTCCTAAGCTAAGCTCCTAATCTTAATATTTATGGATACGCTGCATCATGATTTAAACATGCTGACGCCGCATGTCACTCGGATACAACATAATAAAAGTATTGCTTTGATCGTCAACAAAGTGATTAGTGATTATGTAGAACTACATATATCTTGTATTTTCTTATTATTACAAAAATCTGTTCTCACTACTACTAGCACATCCAAGTTCCACTGCATTATTTTACAAGGCCAAAAAAAAAAAAAGAAAAAGAAAAAAAGAAACAGCCTAGGGCTTCACATCGGCCCAACATCGTATGGGAGCTAGAGAGATTACGTCTTCTTACAACTACAGTTTGCAGTTGAATATTTGAAGCCTTCATTATTAACTAGGACTTATAGACATGGCCGGCAACAATGGGAAAACCCATTTCCTGAGTGGGGATGGATGTCCTCATCAACCTTCTGCACGACCAATATCTGGTGTCACTAGTACCAACCCTGCTCAAACAGCTACATCTTCTGTTGGAACAGGAGGCGTAAGAGGTTCTTCCCCAACCTTC